TTTCTTCTCGTCTGGCTGTGTGTGGTTTTTCTACTTTGTTTTTTATTTTTAATTAAAACCTGTTTTAATTCCTACGGAGAGAGTGTGGGACTCGAGGAGAAGAGAGGGGCGCACAGAAACTGGAGTTTGGTGTTCTTTCAGAGCGATGGCTCTTGCTCTCTCCTTCCCTCATGCGACCCCAAGTAAGATCCACCGTACATGCACAATCCCTTCCTGCCCTCTCCCACCCGTCTCCCTTTCCCCCTTCCCCCCCCACTTTAGTTGATTTTTAAATATAATTTAGGAATACTCAAGCTGCTTTGTGGCACTTGGGGCTTTGAAACACAATGATCACCACTGCGACCTATGGCCTGTAGCAGACACACTGTCACTGTAGTGTGGAGCCGATGGGTTGTTGGCAGGGCGGGGAGGGAGGGGTTAGTCTTTGTTTTGTTTGTTCTTATCCTTTCTATTTAACACTTTATTTTTCCTCCCTATTTTTTTCCTAATTTATTTACCCCCTTACTGTCTTCTTTTTTTTTTTTTTTTTTTTTTAATTAAAGAGCAAAACTTTTTATTACTTTGTAATTTAAAAAAACAAAACAAAAAAAAACCTGAAGAACTTTGGGGGGGATTTTGTACTTTTTTCCTGTGTAAATATTGGACTTTTTTGAGCTTTATCGTGGTTGTTAATTTGAAGTAATAAAGTAGAAAATGATAAAGTGATGCCAGCATCTGTCATTTCTTCCTTCCCTGGCATCCTTGCTGGGAGTGACATCTTGCATGCAGGAAATGCTGTCTTGGAGCTGAACCTGTGTTCCTGATTTCCAGGAACGAGTTTGATCATAATTACTGGAAAAAAAGACTCAGGGCTGGAAGCGCCTAAAAATAAATCTGGGCAGATCTCTGCCGCTGCAGCCTTGGAACAGCAAGAGCAATGTGAAACCTGATTCAGGATCATTCGGTTCCTGGATTTGAGCCTCCGCCATCCTATGCGTCTGGCCTTCAGGACGAGAGGGGTGGAATCTTTCCATGCCATTGACTTTGCGTGTGCCCTGAGTTTGACAGAGGTGAATCCTGTGTTTTGTGTTTCTTTGTGTTCTGCTGTCCTCAGACTTAAATTGTGGAGGAAGGGGAAAGGAGAAGGGTTGGGGCAGCAGCACTGACACCAGACACCAACCCTGTAATGTGGCACACGCTGCTTTGGTGGTGTGCTTTGTTCGGGCTTTTCTTCCTTTGGTTGCTTGACCTATCTGGTAGTAAGTTACTAAATTTTAATAGTGATTTATTTTTCAGTTGCAGCCCCTATTGTTACACTTCTCTGTTACTGAGAGGCCTGTTTCTTTTGGACTATGTAAAATGTGAAATTGGTTTTTGGTTTTTTTCCTTCAGAAACACCTGCTGGGAATAAATGATGGACCTTGGTGACTGCAAGCTCTTCCAAGTCAGCTTGTGCAGGAAGAGCTACTCCTTCATTTGCCTGCTGCATGGGACTTCCAGCTTCTTGGATGAGAGAAGAGTAGGAGGGTAGTTCAGGGGAACTCAGGGTCTTGTCCTATTGCCTCTAGTCCTGTCTTCATTTTGAGTGTGTTTTTGAGGTATCAGAAGGAAACGGGGCTATTTTGGGACGGGGGCAAAGTGTGCCCCCATTTTGGGGGGCAGAGAGTAGCAGCTCCCTGGGTGCGTCTCTTAAGAGGGCAGCAGGAAGTCCCATCCCACATGCCCTGGGTGGGATATTGCCCCCTCTGGCTACCCCAGTCCTCCATGCAAGCAGTGTGTTTGTGTGCTAAAGGTTTGTAGGGCTTGTGTTTGCGGTTTTATTACTTTTTTTTTATTTATTTATTTTTTGGGTTGGAAATCCCTTGTTCTTCCTTGAGCAAAGGTATGCCTTTGCTTTCCAACACCTACATCTGTGTTTTTCCTTGGAATTTTGGGAAAAACGGCTCTGAGGTAGAGGTGGAAATGTCCTGTGGGGCTCTTCCTGAGGGCAGCGCTGCTCCTA